CAAAATGACAATACAACAGTTCATGATCCAACACATGTCAGTAGCCCATACTACATTGGGAGCAATGACGGCACTGGATCCATTCTGGTTACTCACATACTTGATGCCAACAACTACCACTCATGGGCAAGGTCGATGAAGAGAGCTCTCGGGATAATGAACAAACTAGGATTCGTAGATGGAACCATTCAAGAACCTCAGGAACCCAATGACCCACTGATGGAACATTGGCTTCGGTGCAATGATATTGTTATTACCTGGCTCCAAAACACCATGGCTATGGACATCAAATGTAGCACTATGTTGCTGAAACAGCTTATCAGCTATGGCAAGAGTTGGAACAACGCTTTGCACAACAGAATGTACCCAGAATTTTCGAGATTAAGCAAGCTATCACAGCTTTATCACAAAGTCAGGATGCTGTAAGCGTATATTTTCCTAAGTTCAAAACTCTGATTGATGAACTATGAATCAGTCCCTAATTGCACATGTGGAGGTTTGAAAACTGTAGTTGAAAATCAGAACCATGATTGGGTAATGAAATTCCTAATGGGGTTGGATGATTCTTACAAAGCCATTAAGGCACAGGTTCTTTTGAACAAACCATTTCCCTCCTTGAATGATGTGTACGCTATAATCCAGCAAGAAGAGAAAAGAAGGCAGATATCAAATGATGGTGCCATCAATGAAGCAATTGCATTACTGGCTAAAGGAAACTTCAAGGATAATGGCAGACGTAATTCCTTTTCACAGAGGAGAGATAGGTACTATTGCACTCATTGTAAGATTACATGTCACTCACTTGAGAGGTACCTGAAGGATCCAAACAAACCTATATGCTCCCACTGTAAGATGTCAAGCCACACTGCAAACAAGTTCTAAAAGCTACATGGATACCCACCAAGCAACAGATTTAAGGGAAAGAGCAGATACATACCAGCAGCAAATCAGGCCTCCATTTGCCTACCCACAAATCAAGAGCAGCAGAGCAACAAGGCTAATGTGTCTCTCACTCCAGAGGAATATTCTCACTTGATGGCTATCCTAAAATCATCAGCAAATCAAAACATAACCTCTTCACCAAATCAGGTTCAAAGTATCGTTGCCTCAGATTCAGACAATGTCCTTCCAAAAATTTATGGTATATCACTTTGCTCATCTACTTTTAACTCTGCAAAGTCCAATAATTCTGCAGCCCCTTGGATATGGGGGCAACATATCATATGATCTGCAATCCATCTTTTCTGTCTTCTATCAAATCCAAAGCTGATTGCTCAGTAAGTTTGCCAAATGGGATTACTGTCCCAGTAACTTGTGTTGGGATTGCACATGTCACAGATTAATTGGTCCTTCAGGACGTGCTATGTGTTCCCTCGTTTTCCTTCAATCTTATATTTGTTAAGAAGCTCACTCAAGCACTAAATAGTTGTGTTATTTTTCTTCCTAATGTCTATTTTATACAGGACCTTTCGACTTGGACAACAACAGGAATAGGTGAAGCAAAATCTGGCTTCTATCAAGTTCTACCTTCAGTAGTATCACCTATGGCCCTTCAGGAAACCTTGAACCATCTAAGTAGCACCTTTTCCCTTGCAGCCTCTGTTATCAATCATGTAAAGGAGTTGACATTTGGCACTACAGAATGGGACATCCATCCCATTCTGCACTTGTTCTTGAAGACTCTATACCTAAGTTAGCCTAACAGAATAAGTCTTGCTCTGTATGCCCTTTAGTTAAGTTACATAGACTTCAATTTCCTGTCAGTCAGCAAAAATATGAAAATTATTTCGATTTAATACACTGTGATATCTTGGGACCTTGTAATGAAATTAAATATGATGAATCACGTTATTTTCTAACCATAGTTGATGATTTTAGTAGGTGCACCTGGATATATATGCTGAAACTGAAACCAGAAGCCACCAGTGCTTTACAAATTTTTTATAAATTGATAGAGACTTCATTTCAAAGAAAATCAAAGTTGTGAGAAGTGATAATGGAGCAGAATTTAATATGAAGCAATTCTATCTAGAAAAAGGAGTCATCCATCAAAGAACTTGCATTGAAACCCCTCAGCAAAATGCTATTGTTGAAAGGAAACATCAGCATATATTAAATGTTGCAAGAGCCCTAAGATTTTAGAGTGGCATTCCATTGAAATATTGGAGTGAATGTGTCTTGACTGTCGTCTATCTGATTAACAGAACTCCCACAACACTTCTAGGAAATAAAAGTCCCTTTAAGATGCTATTTCAAAACAAACCCACATACTCTCATCTGAGGATCTTTGGATGCTTAGCCTACTCCACAACACTCATGAATGGCAGATATAAGTTTGACTCCAGAGCAAAAAGATGCATTTTCTTAGGATACCCATTCAGTGTTAAAGGTTACAAACTACTTGACTTGGAAACAAAAAGGGTGTTCATATCAAGGAATGTTATATTCCATGAAACTATTTTCCCATACAAAGAAGTTAAACCACCAATATGCACATTCCACCAGATCCTGCCAATCTATGCTTCCCTCAAACTCATATCATTTCTGTCCTAATTAACTTTTACAAAGAGGGACGGGATCAATCTGATCAATCTCTTGATCCTGCAGAACCTATAGAGCACTTTCACACTGATGACTCTCAAATTGATCCTACTTCACAACAGCCAAACCAACAAGCACCTAATAGCAATCAGACCACACCCCATCTGCCTAGAAGGTCCACCAGGATTCGAAGACCTCCTGCAAGGCTACAAGACTTTGTATGTCAACAGGCCAGTTTGCTTTCCCCATTATAGGCTTTGAACAAGGAGGCGAGTTCTATGCCTTCAGGTAGTCCTTATCCTCTCAACTCTACTATATCATATGAAAAATTGTGTGTACCTCATAAAGCTTTTATCTCTTCGATAACTACACGTAATGAACCAAAAACATACCAAGAGGCTATCAAATTTCCTGAGTGGTGTAAAGCCATGAAAAGTGAGATTAAAGCTCTTGAGTTGAATAACACATGGGTCGTGGTTGATCTGCTACTCAACAAGAAGGCAATAGGGTGTAAATGGGTTTACAAAATAAAATTCAATACTGATGGAAGTGTGGAAAGACACAAAACCAGACTGGTAGAGCGCTACACCCAGCAAGAAGGTTTAGACTACCATGAAACATTCTCGCCTGTAGCAAAACTTGTCACTGTTAGAACCCTGCTCACTCTTGCAGCCATAAGAGGTTGGTTCCTATACCAATTAGATGTTAACAATGCCTTCTTGCATGGAGATTTGAAGGAAGTGTTGTATATGGAGCTGCCCCTAGGGTATGACAGTGTTTATGGATCAAAGGTGTGCAAACT